GGTTCTGTAGTGAAAGTAATAGGTTGAAAATGATTTGGCCTTGATTTATTGCCCCTTTCGAATTTAAATCGTCATGCCCTTTTTTTTTCTTCCTGATTTGGTTCCATTCAACCTAATTTCTTGTTAAGTCACAGTAATACAACTTTTGCTTAGATAGCTGAAATCTGAAGCTGAGTCTTTGTTTATTCAGTTTCCAATAAATGTTCCATGATCGTTTTGTCGTTACTACTAAAAGGATTCTTAGTTCCGCTACTCATCTCCTCTTTCGAGTTTATTGGGTTTAGATACATAGCCTTAAAGGTCAGCCGGTGATCCTCTCTTCTCTAATATATTAAACACACATTATTCGGTCTGGACGTTTGCCAGGGTCATTTATTTATGCCTAAATCAGTATATTGTCTTCTTAATTTAAATGCATGCTCGTGTGTAGAGAGTATAGTAGGCTTATTATGACATTTAGTTGTATTTTGTTACCGCCCTTCATTAATTGCTGAGAATGTAAGTGTTTGCCTCTTTAGGAATAGCTAGTGAAGAATTACATCCCTTTAATTATTTATTGTTAAGTTATGGATTTGAGAATTTTATGCGGATCGCTTAAATGTTTTTTTTTTCTTGTCCTCGTATAATTGCGTGCAACCATTAATTTCATTTAGTTCACTGATGGACAGTGTTTCAGTTCACTTACTTGGTGTCATTTTTCTATTTAGTTGTTGAGTCTTATTAAATTAAATGGTCCTTCTTGTGTTGTTGTAGTTATATATTTTATTTTATTTCTTTATTTTAGTTTTAGTTGTTTTTTTTTTGTTATAAATTCTTGATCTTTCTGTCTAGAAGTGTGTTAGTTTCGCAATCATGCTCTCATTTCCTAAAGTAATTTATGTGCTTATCTCCATCTTGTGTTAATTATTTGATTGTCGTTTTGTTGGAATTTTACCTCTATTCTAACCCTTGGTTATCTTTTCGTTGCATGTGAAATTTGTCCGAGTTCACTATGAACTCATCATTCCCTTTGCATTTCGGAGAGTCATAAAGGCTTAAATTCCGCCTTCATCGAGTTGGCCGGTCCTAAAAATTAACGAACAGGTCCCATAGTTGAAAGAGTATGAAACAGATCAGGAATTTGAAAAGATTGGGCCAAAGGCCCACTCTTAGTTCCGGAAATTGTATTTTTGTTATTTTGGGCATAAGCCCTTGTTATTATCTTGTTAAAATCTAGGACAGGTGAAAGGATTGAGCCTTACCCAAGAAAAATATATATTTCTTTTTATGTTAGTTTAGGACAGGTGCAGATGATTCAAATGGGCCCAAATACTGGCCCAGGCGGACAGGAAAATCAGATTTGGGCCCAAATCTCGTTCCCTCATTTCCTTGTTGTGTTTGTTTACTCGTTATTATCTGTTATTAATCTTAAAGTTAAAAATTTCAAATCTCCAAAAGACACCCATTTTGAATTAATCACTTAACTAAATTAGCTGTTTCTTTCTTGACTAAAAATAAAATAAATAAATAAATAAGTAAGTTTACAAAATACTTCATATTGCGATATTTTTTGTTTCTCCCTTAAAACGGTATTAACTATAAAGTAGTTCACTTTTGCAATTCAAGATAAGTTAAAATATTTTAGTCAAATAATTAATTGCCGGATAACCGCATATTAGCGGGCATTTCGGGTGCTTTCTGTCACTCCCCGAGCCTACACCCTGGGCGGGACCGGCACCCGGAGACCATTTCTGGCCCCAAGCGAACCCTTGGCCTGGCTTTCTTAACTCAGCAGAAACCTAACCCAACAGAATAACTCAATGCAAATGCAAGGTTACAAAACAACTTAACTTATAAAATCTGGCCACAAAGGCAACTCGAATCTCAAAATAGAATATTTACATATATACATAGATGAGAGACTCAAAACTAACTGACTAACTGTCTATGAAGCCTCTAAAATACTGAGATGGATGTTGGGACAGACCCCGCAACACCCTAATAAAACAAAACTAAGAATACAAAATAATTGAGTCCTCCGGAATGCAAGGAGGCTCACCACTGACTCTGGAGTGCTCAGCTGGATCAACGGCGTACTGGATGTTGATCTTGAGTACTTGCGTCTGCATCATAATAAGATGCAAGCCAACTGACATCAGTACATGGAATGTAGAAGTATGCGAGTTGAAAAGCTAAACCACAACTTAAGCTTGAAAAGAGTAGAAAGAGAACACTTACCTTGGCTCTGTTCGACTCATGAATAACTAAACTCAATATATAAAGCAATAAGACACATGCAATATATAAGACTTGTAAAACAGTATAAACAACTTAGCTTGTTAATGATAAAACAATAACAACTCAACTTTACCTGTATAAAAGTAATATAACTTATGTGGGAGATTCTTTAACCGACAACCACCACTATGAGCCTTAGTGATGATACAACGTTTTAGCTCACGTTGCCCAAGGACCATCTTATACCTTGCTGTGATATAGGAAGCTAACTTTACTAAGTGGATCCGCTAGCTTAACTTTCGTGATCATCTAAAAAGTATGACCCGAGAAATCCCATGTTGGCGCATGGTTCTTATGGAGAGTTGAGTTAATATGAATTCGTGTCCCCAATTCGGTGCTCAATACTACTCCCAAAAAATACTTTGGCTCATAAGTGTCTTTAAACCCATCTTTCTTTAACTTGAGATAATTACTCAAAATCTAGCCCAAAGGCTCTTTTGGAATCGATGTTCCTTTCTTACTTAAATGTAAAAACATTTAGAAACTTCTTTGGGAAATACATAGTTCCCTAATAACTTTGGAGAAATGGACTCGACTTTATGCTCTTGACTTAACTTGAAACTTTAGACTCTTCACTTGGCTTGAAACTCTATACCCTTTACTTGACTTGAAACTCTATACCCTTTTACTTGACATGAAACTTGAGTCTTAAAAATGAAGTTAAAACGTTCACTAAAGACTCTTGAACAACTTAAAAAAACTTGCTTTGACTTACTTAACTTCTAAGCTTGGCTCTAACTTCACTTGACTTCTAACTTCAATTGACTTGGAAACTAACTCTCCTTGAATCGGATTATGAATTCAAGGTGTTTGATCACATGTTATGGATGAGTTTGGGATGTTAAGATGTACCTTAAAGTATTGAAAACAACTATAAAACATAGGTACCTTACCAAGGAATATGTATGAAAAAGTGGGGAATGAAGGTAACGGGAAGGATTGGCGTCCTTGACGCTCTAAGAGGTGCGGGGAGCCAACCCTCAAACTTCAGAGGGGCTTGCTGGGCACTCTGCCAGGCGCTAGCCCTCAATTTCAAAGGGGCCTGCTGGGCCTGCTGGGCACTCTGCCAGGCGCGCCAGCCCTCAACTTCAATGGTTTCAGCCCCAATCACTTAGAAACATAAAACCCCTCAACATACAATAGATTCAACTCAAGAACACAACCAGAAACATATCCCTCATCAACAAGAACTTCAACAACACAACCAACAACTCCAACAACCAAAATAAATCTTTTCTTGGAATTAAAAACGAGTTGGCGTGTAGGGGTATCAACCAACCAACACTATGAACTTACATACAATAGATTCAACTCAAAAATACAACCAAATCATGTCCCAAATCAACAAGGGACTTCAACAACACAATTAACAATATCAACAACACAACCAACAACTCCAAACAACACAACCAATCTTTTCTCAATAATAAAACGAGTTTGGTGTGTGGGGGAAAGAATCAACCCATCACTATGAACTCACATACCTAGTAGGGATCACCCCCGACGATATCCACGATGATCTCCTTGATTGCTCTTCTCTTTCTCCTCTTCCTTCTCTTCTTTCTTTCTTCTCTCCCAAGCCCTAGCTCTTTACTCTTTAAAAAAAAAAGCCAAACTGATCTAAAATCAGTCTAACACTTTAATATAACCAAAACAATTGATTAGGGAAAAGATCAAAATACCCTTAAAAATTTCCGGATAGAAATCCCTACCAATTGCCCAACTTCCAAAGGGCATAACTCACTCATACGAACTCGGAATCGAGCAAACTCATTGGCGTTGGAAAGGTCATTTCAAGGGTTTTCCAAAAATATCTAGAAATACACATAACTCATCCTGAGCCAGAAGTTATAACTTTTTGAAGTTGACCAAAAACTCATTTTTTCCACACTTAACCAAATTTTCCAGATTCTGAACTTAGCCAAATTTCCAAATTCTGAATTTTTCCAAAAATGACTACTTCCAATTTCAAGCTTTTTCATATTCATTTTAAATTGTCGGATGTTACACTTTCAAACCCTTTTCGAAATGCTAATAAGAACCCTCGAACCTCCCTTAAGTATTTTCAATTGATTCCCTGTTTTAATCTATTGAAAATCAATTTTCTTGATTTTTTTCTTAAAAATTAAGTGGGGACTTATAAACCAGTCCAAATAATATTTTCCTAATAAAACAGAATGACGATTTTGCTGGGGATTTGAATGGTTCTAACCTTAAGATTAATTATTGGCTATGTGTTTAATTGTTAGCTTGTTTAAATTTTCGTATCTTATATTAATTGTGCCATTCATGGCACCCGATTTTACCAAACGGCAAATAGATTGCATTAGGGAAAAGGCGATTACGTGGCTTACCACGACTGTCCTTCAGAAAAAACACAAGTTAAATTCTTTGAAACTGATAAACGAATAGTTGACTTGTGGTCATCCAACGTCGTTTATTAGACTTCACCCCGTTGTTTGTCCGACTCGGGTAACAGTAATTTCTAAGCCAATTCTAGTCAGCTTAGAGTAGAGCGAACCAAATCCAAATCTAAGTATTAGCCTAAGACGGCTTAATACCCAAGGCGTATTAAGTCCATTAGTAAAACCGCCAAAAATCATGTCCAAGGTCCACGACCTAACGACATATCATATTAATTGACATTTGAAAGATGTATGTGTGGAAACCTGATTGTTGCCTATTTGGGTGAGGGAATCTTCACCGTGCTTTATTTTATAGGTATGGATCGATTTCCTAAATTCGACATGGTAGTGGAATCCCTAGTTTTGCTTAAGATGTGGTACAACGACCTCATTGTGGTTTATAAAATAGTCCTCAACAAATATATAGGAGCCTTAACGGAACTCATCAACATGGTTGGGTGGCCCGAGCTGATTGAAGGCCTCACAGGCTATTGGGACAATGATAAAATGGTGTTCCGATTTGGAACCATGGAGATCACCCCAATAATTGAGGAAATTCGGGCTGGAATAGACACAGTCGGTACAGGACTTGAAAGAAGAGTGAGAAAGCAGGAAAATATCTTAATCTCTAACAAGCCTACTCTTGAGGATCTTATAAATTGGCTCGGATTAAGAAAGGATTACGCCTTTTGGGCTGAAGGTTCTAGATGTTAGATTCGGGAACGCAAGCTTTTACGCGAATTACAACCAAGAGTTCAAGGTCACTTACAGAGAATGGGATGGGATCAGACCGTTGGCATTCACCGTCGCACTATTGGGCACCATGGTTTTTCCACACGGCCCGAGCCTCAGTATCAACACCCGTCCCATTCTTATGGATCTTTATGTTAGATTCGGGAATGCAAGCTTTTACGCGAATTACAACCAAGAGTTCAGGGTCACTTACAGAGAATGGGACGGGATCAGACCTTTGACATTCACCGTCGCACTATTGGGCACCATGGTTTTCCCACACGGTCCGAGCCTCAGTATCAACACCCGAGTGATAATGCTTGCGCACACTCTGTTCCACGGGCATCTAAACCAAGGGCAAGTAAAGTATTATCCTATCGCACCTGTCATCCTTTTCGACATGTACCGTGCTTTGGGAAAATGCAAGAAAGTTGTAACGACTTGGAAAAAAATGATAGGTTAAGCAAGAGCCTATGACTTTGTGTTGACTTTATAATGAGGTTCTATGAGGGGTTTATATGTAATTTCGTTTTAATTGTGTAACTCCGACAATTTAAAATGAATAAGAAGAAGCTTGAAATTGGAAGTAGTCATTTTTGGAAAAAAATTCAGAATCTGGAAATTCGGCCAAGTGTGGAAATCAGTGAGTTTTTGTCCAACTTTGAGCAGTCATAACTCCTCGCTCAGGATGATCCAGGAGTAGTTCCAGTTATGTTTGGAAAGCCCTTGGAACTATCTTTCCAACGCCACCGAGTTTGCTCGATTCCGAGTTCGTATGAGCGAGTTATGCCCTTTGAAAGTTGGGCAGTTGGCAGGGAGTCCGTCCGGAAATTTAAGGGCATTTCGGTCTTTTCACAAATCTTTTCTTTTGAGGTTATATTGTTGTGTTAGGCTGTTTGTGGATCATTTTTGTTCCATTTTAAAAGAATAAGAGTTAGGGTTCTTGAGTGAAGAAGAGAAAAAGAGAGGAAGAAGAGGAGTTGGAGCTAGGGTTGAAGATTTCTTGGTGTTTCTTCTTCAAATTTCGTGGGGAATTCATCTTTAAGGTATGGGGATCCTTTATCCTTGATCATTCTTTCTTTCAAGGAGCCCAATCAAAAGGTTTTCAAGGTCTTTCAAATACACCAAAATCCTATTTCGAATTCTAAGCATGGGTCCTTGCATTAAATGATTTCCAATGATGTTTTATGTTGTTATTAATGATTATTGATGGTTTTAGGAAAGAAATCTTCATGAACCCATGCCTTTACAAATTCTCTAAATTTGGCCTAAAGTGGGTGTATTGATTTTGTGTAATTTGATGGACGATTATTGTGTAAATTGTTGTGGGTTGTTCATGTATGTATTTATCTATGTTGAATTGTTAAGAATTGTTATTGAATTGAAGGACGTGGGATGTTAGCCTTGAATGGGCAAAATTGTGAATTGGTCTTCATGTTGATTATGGGCTTATGCTTAGCTTTGTTTGTATAGTTGAATGATGTTATTATCATTGTTATTGTATTGTTAATTGTTGAAATATGAGGATGATGAAGATTGTCATGGAAAGAGGGTAAGTTGATCAAACTTGATAAATATTGTATAATTGGCATGAAATTGAGTATTGTGGCTTATGGCCTTTGAAAAGGGTGGTAAGATGGCTTGATCTCTTAGTATTAATATAATTGTTATTGGTTGGTTTGATCCACCTTTGGTGGAGGTGGTTATTTGTTGTATTATTGTGAATTGAGGCCATGAAGGGCATTATGTGAATGTTATTATATTGTTGTATTATTATACACATATGAGGCTATATGTAAAGTCCTATATGAAGCTATATGTAGAGTTTGATGTGAAGCTATATGTGAAGGTATGATGTGAATGAGTTTTATATGAAGCTATATGTGAAGGTATGATGTGAATGAGTTTTATATGAAGCTATATGTGAAGGTATGATGTGAATGAGTTTTATGTGATCTTGTGATGATCCTATGTAAAGTGGATAGCATTGTGAGTTAAAGTATGATTTCTTATGATGTATATATGAAATAATGTTGGATTATGAAGTATCCTTAAATGAAAATGTTGTGACTTGGTTGGTAGACTAAAGTGTCCCTCCTTGTTACTTAAAGTCTTGAATGCATGAATGTGTGAAATGGGCAGAACTAAGAAATGGTACCCTTTCTATAAATGCTAAAAGAGGAATTCTAGGCCAAGACTTGAATCGGCAAAACTAAGAAATGGTGCCCTTTCATAAGTCTAGCTTTCCCAAGTAAATGTAAAACCATGAAATCGGTAGACCTAATGGTAGTAGCCCTTCTCATGTGTGAAATGATGAACCTTGGACCGGCAGGCTTAAGGCACCCTTAATGAAAAATCGGTAGGCCTAAGGCACCCTTCCAGGGGGATTTAATGAGCTATCCTTATGAACCTTGATTGGCCATGACTAAGAAATGGGGCATTTCTTGGGAAGAGGTACTATGAGTTGGTTGAACTAGAAAAGGAACCTTCTCTAAGTACATATGTGATTGAATACTCTATGGGAAACAAGGCTAGCACCGAGTGGATGTGGTTAGGAAGGTGGCCTAGTTGAGTATGAGATTAGGCACAATGAACTTCCTTGGACATCCCCTAAACCATGTGCCTACATGGGTTGCTTACTAGTTCTACATTTGTCAAGTAGAACAACCTCCACGGAGTAGGATAGACTCCGGATTCCATACCTAGCTAGTATGGTCTATGTCGGTTATGCCTATTCCCATCATGTGGGATGTGCACTCTAGTTATTGGATAGGTTCTACAACGTGTAGGTAGTAGTATGGGATGCTATCTACACATGGCACGAGTAGGCTTTGAAGATACTAAAGTGAGTTCCCTAAGTCTAACGACTATTATGTGAAAGTCCCCTTATGTGCTTGAATGTCACCAAAATGGTTTCTTAAAGAATGTTGGCCTATTGATGTTATGTTGTAAAGGAAATGTCCTTATCTAAGGTAATCTTGAGGAACACTTAAGTGTGCTTGAAGAGGTTGTATGGGCGGTCACTTCTTGTCTTACTCAAGTGTGTCTTAAGATTATATTAGGTAGAGGTCCTATGGTAATGAAATGACATGTGTTCTTTTAAAGTTAAGCATGAGTTGTATATGGACATATGTTGATTATATGTATGGTGGGCTATGGTCTTATATGTTAATGATGAGTTGTATATGGACATATGTTGATTATATGTATGGTGGGCTATGGTCTTATATGTTAATGTTGACTTGTATTATGTCTCTTATACTTGTAAAGGAAAGGTTTTATCAAATTGATATGAAAGCATTTATTCTTTGAAAATGTCCTTTTTGACATGTTTTTGCATGGTCTCCATACTTAGTACTTAATTGTGCTAATCCCTTTCTTTCCCTTTTTTGAACTAAAGTGTAGGGATTTGGAGAAGATGACATGTCATGGCTTTGATAGGTTTCTAAGTGTTAAAGATGAAGACTTGGTGAGTCCTCATAGATTCGAGGACAATACCCAATACGTTCTTTTATGTCTTTTAGTATTGTTTAAGTTGTGTACGGGATTAGTCCCGAAATTTGTACTCTAAAGTATTAGATGGTTTTGAGACATCATGTATAAAGTCTAGAAAGTCTTCCGCTTGCTATTGTTTTTTTTAATGAAATGTTTTCTTGGTAAAAAAGTTTTTAATTCCTTATGGTTTTAGTGTCTATGCGATGAATGAATGCTAAGAGGCTTGTATTAGACCTCTTCGAGGTCGAGTACGCCGGTTACGACTAGGGGGTGATCCCGGGTCATGACAAAAGTGCATCGTTACTTTCAGGGTTGCAACCTTCTCCTTCATTGGTGGATAATGAGTCACTTGGTGAAGAGACACAGAACTCAAGAACTTCATACTCTTGATGAGCATAACGCTCTTAAGAGTTTGAATGACATGTTTTTCTGGACAGACTTGGAAAAAAGAAGAACCAGAGAAAGATGGGCTCAAATTTTTTCTGAGTTGAGAGAAGAAAACATCCAATGGATGTTCGACCGTTTCATCTCGAAAGATGCCATAGTACGGGGGCTACAGAAAACTTGTGCTTCCTCTGCCAGGTATTCGAGGAATTCGCTCATATGCACTCATTCGGGTCCTGAGACAGTTCGAAAGAAGACAGACTACACCTCTAGAAGCATACTACCGTATCTATGCGTTCGACATCGGGGATGATAGAGTGCCTGAGGCTTCAAAGATGCTGAGAGAATGGAAAAGAGCAGTGCGAATGAAAGACGACACCATTGCCGCGGACCGATTTAATGCGGGGTACGACAAAACTTACAAAGCTTGGTTGAAGCGCAATATATAGGGTATCTCCTTCTCAGTTCCGAACATTTACCGCAGTGTAGAGGACAAATAGTCCAAAGCTTTGATAGATTTAAGAGAGGTAAGAAGAGAAGCCCAGGAAATACATGAGGAATTTCTCCGAAAGCAAGAAGAGGATAGGTACGCCCTCGATAGCGTGACTCAAGAATTAGAAAGCTTGAAAAGCGATTTGGGAGAGCTTAACTTGTGGATTGGAGATAAGAAAAGCGGAATGTGTCTCGAAGACTGGGAAGAGAAAGGCCGCCGGAGCGAAGGATACTTGCTAATGATTCAATATAGGCTTCAACATCTCATGACACAGAACAAGAGGACCAAATCAGAGGCGGGGCCGTCGGGAACATCTTAGCGGATTTCGCCCCTGCGTGGGTTTTTCTATATGTACTTATTGTTATTTGCCCTTGCGTGGGCTTGCCTTTCTTGTATTTTGGTACTCTTTTCAAATGACCTCTGTGTGGGCCTTTCCTTTGTATTTTTCGTTTATTCCCTACTTCCCCTGCCTATTTTCTCTTCTTGAATATCATTTTATATGCGAAATTTGCTTTGGGTTAACGAAATGGTTCAATTCTACACATACATCTTTCAAATACGCTAGGCCTACCCTTGGCACAAAAGGGCCCCCTACTTGTTTAGGACACGCGATATATGCTTGTGTGCTTTAACTGTTTATGTGGTACGTTGTTTTGAATGAGGACACCCTTAGCCCACTCCTTTTCAAAAACTTCCAAAAATTCCTACAATATCAAATACAAGTCACTACCAAATGTCCGACCAAAATTCCATGAGTCTTAAGTTTCCCAGCCAGAAATAAAATCCTACCACCAAATCCTAAAATATTACTCTATCATCAAATGTGAAATTGCTGCTAAGATGGAAAAAGGCAAGGGTATCGACATAAAGCTAATCGAAGAGGATTTGAGGATGAAATTGCAGCGGCTCAGGCGAGAGATCCAAGAAACCAGAGAAAGGAGAATAGAAGTGGAGTTTGCCACCGCGGTCACACAAGCAGCAAATGCGGCACTAGATGCGGAATTGACAGCAAAGATGACAAAATGCGATGTTATAAGTAAAAAGATAGTTGTTGTGCGGAAGGAACATGACGCCTTCAAGTATGACATAACTATGAGACTTCAGAAGATACGTGGGAAATGCTCTTTCTTCAATCAAGAAGCCAATAGTGGTCCAGAAGACACTCACCCTGGAGCTACTGAAGAAGATGTCGATGAGGAAATCATCTATATGCCTCCCTTCCTGGGATGTCTGAAAGGAGGGGACCAAAAAATCACTCTCCTGGCTTATGAGCGGACACATAGCGTGGGGGCAAGAGTCATGCCGTGTGCTCTCATTTACGAGCACCTTAAGGCGTCAGGTATGTTGAAGCCTCTCAAAGGAACCAATTTTGGGTTTGGGCATGAAAGCTCTCAAAAGGCATGCGCCTACCACCCGAACCAAAGAGGACACACTGTAGAAGAATGTGTGGAGCTTAAGGCAGCAATCCGTAACCTGATCAACATTGGGGAGATCCCGTATATGTGGGGTGAGAACACCGTCCTTACTTGTGACCAACAGGAGCCTAATATGCCGGTCACTACGCACACTTTGTTTTATTGTCACTACTTCACGCCTTTCAAGAAAACGTTGCTGGATATCTACAGTTGTTAGTTCAAAAGGGAGTCTTGGTCCTGTATCAGAAAGGATGACGAAGCAATCGATCCCGTCGGAATTGAGATCTGGAAACCCTGCCCTTATCATGATGCCATAGATCACAACATTGGAAGGTGCCTCAGGTTTCGCTATGACGTGGAATCTCTCGTCAACATGGGAAAGATTCAAGTTGAGTTTGTACCCCGTGGCTAATACGACAGTCAGAGGAAGGAGCTTCGGCGAAGACACCATCTATCTTTTAGGAGCTTTATTATCTATTTTTCACTTTCCTTGTAATCACTAGAAATGAATGAATGAAAACGAAAATTTCCTTTGTATTCGAACTATGTAGGGCCTGAATTATCCTTGGGAGATATGTAGGTAGCATTTCAAGGCCCGACCCCTATCTTTTTCAAATTTTCTTTTCCCCCTCTTTCATTCTACAAGGAAACATTGAGTTCAGATCAACAGATTCCAGAAGCTGCAGCAAGAAGACCTTAGCTCAACACAATTTAGCCTTTCTGAGTCACTAGCCCCAAAATAAAACGAGCAAATTCCTATTTGTTCAAAAATCAGTCTCCATTGCTCGTGGGTTAACGTGTCCTCAAATGAAGCAACTTTTATGTGTTTATCTGCTTTCTATGTGATAACTTGCATTATTCATCTAGAACTAATACTGACAGATTTGCCTTTGAGTTGTTTCCTCTACAGGTAGTTAGAACTGATCTGGCTGAACACCCCTATTTTACCATATCAAAAGGGCCTACAAATTCCTTCCCCAATCAAAGTTCACAAAAGGGAAAAGCAGCAATGGGTAATAACAACGAAGAAACCAGCCTTATTGATGTCGTGGTGGCTCAACCTGCCCTTGCTGATCAGAATGAACTGATCCTGCAGTTGATGCAACAAATTGTTGAGATGAGGGTCGAGATGCAGAGAAAATAAGATTTGCCTCCTTCGATTTTTGCTGTCAACGCTCAACTAGACGGAAGGCCTCCAACTCAAATTCCCCCTCCTAACGTGGAACAAACTCAAAACCTGTCTTCAAGTCCTTCTCGTAATCCCTCCATCATTGACCTTACCACCCAAAACCCTCATTAGGCCTCAACCTCTTATCAAACATCACCCCCTCCTAAAATACCAACCTCCAATCATCACTCCCTCCCCCCAATGCAAACCACCAAACTGGCCTACCCACTTACACCCAAAACCCTAATAACCCACGCACTTCCCTCATTCACCAAAACCAGTATACCAGCCCCCAATTTTCCCCAAAACTATCATGCCCCTTTGAACGGCCAAAGTCCGTTTATTGCTCCACCACTACCGCAAAAAGCCACTTTCCAAATACCGGTTCCAACGAGCATGACGCCCATGGTTCGGAGCTCGACCACTATGATGAGAGGGAGAGAGAGAGAGAGTGGAGGTCAAAAGAAGAGACCGCCAAGATAGATATGAAGGAGGAAATTAGAAAAGCCATGAAGGAATTGAACTACATTCCTGAGGTCGCCGGGTTGAGTTACGAAGACTTGTGCATTCATCCAAATTTGGACCTCCCGAAAGGGTTCAAGGTGCCAAAATTCGACATATTCGGAGGAACGAGGAACCCCTTAGCACACCTGAGGGCCTACTGTGACCAACTTGTGGGAGTTAGGATAGACTAAGCTTTGTTAATGCGGTTTTTAGTCGAAGTCTGAGCGGAGAAGCTCTAGAATGGTTTACGTCTCATGAAACGAGACATTAGTCTAGCTGGAACGCTCTGGCTAAGGACTTCATTGAAGGATTCGCCTACAATGTGGAGATCGTTCCTGATCGTTACTCATTGGAGAAGATGAAGCAGAAGTCGACCGAAAGTTACAGAGAATTCGCATATAGATGGCGAAAGGAGGCAGCTAAAGTTAGACCTCCCATGTCAGAAAAGGAAATTGTTAAAGTATTTGTGCGGGTGCAGGAGCCCGAATATTATGACAGAATCATATTGCTCGTTGGAGCAAAATTTGCTGAGATAGTCAAGGTAGGTGAGACTATCGAATATGGATTGAAAACCGGGAAGATTGCCCGTGTTACTGCCTCGCCCGGATCTTCGGGCTTGTTGAAGAAGAAAAGAGAGGATGTGTCCTCTATCTCTTATGAGAGGAAGAAGACCCCAAGGAAGTCATCATCATACCAAGGTCGTTCTCTACCTTCACAGAGTTCATACCTGGCTTGTTATGCACAGGCTGATTACTAGAATACCCCTCCCCCCAGTTACCAAAATACCCCCTCCCAGTTATCAAAATACTCCTCCTCTTAACTACCAAATTCCCCATCCAGTTTACTAAACTCCACATCATCACTACCGAAATGTCGCCCCCAATTGTGCCCACGTTCAGACGAATTACCAAACGCCTCCCCCAATGTACCAAACCCCAACTCCACTTTACCAAAATACCCCCTGAACTACCAAGCTCTACAACCAAACTACCAAACCAACTCATATCCCAGATATCAAGCCCCCCATCCGAACACTCCAAATTATCGTCAAATGCCTCCTCCTCAACAAGGCAAATACGATCCCCCCGTCCTAGATTTGAGAAGAAGCTCGCCAGAATTTTCACTCCGCTTATTGAAAGCCAACAAAGTTGTTCGAGCGATTAACTGCGGCAGGACATATTCATCTAGTGGGCCCAAGCCGGTTGACGCTAGCTCAAAGTTTTACAGACCTGATCAGAGGTGCGCGTATCACTCCAACAGTGTTGGACATGATACCGAGGACTGTATCAACTTGAAGCATAAGATCCAAGACCTGATTGACCAAATGTGGTCTCTCTTCAGATAGTTGCGCCCAATGTCAATAGTAATCCTTTGCCAAATCATGGAGGCGCCACTATCAATATGATAGAGATAGATGATGACTGGTGCGTGAAAGGCAATAGTTTCGATTGCTTCTGATGAACTGGAAAGGGCTGTAGCTTCGTTGAGCATTAGAGAGAAGAAAAAGTTTGTGATTCTGACACCTGAGAAGGCTGTTGCCTTGGTGCCACGAGAAACTCTTACCCAACCAAAGTTTGTGATTGAAAGGCTGTTACCCAGGTATGACCAGATTCGGCAGGTGCTACACACCGGAAAGTTAGCTCAAGGGGGCAGAAGAATGACCAAACAAAAAGGCCGATCAGTGAAGCCGAGGCCGAGGAGTTCTGGAGAAAAATGCAGCCGAAAGATTATTC